ATCTGCTCATGAAACCCACCTCAACCAATTAAAAAGCGAGGTGCAACGGCATACATCTGTCATTCTAGTCATAAGGAAAGTATCAATAGGATGATGGTCTGGGCTGGCTCAAGCACAAATGAGAGAACCAATTTCAAAAACAACAAAACCAAAAAAGGGTTGGGGATGCAGCTGCCATGAAAAGCACCTGCCTAGCAAGTTTGAAGTCCAGAGTTAAACACTCCCCACCCCCCCCCAAAAAAGTCAAAATAATTCCACCTTAAAAAAGTATTTTTCTGTTCTGAAAACTAAACTCAGCCTCTTCTACTGAGCAGATCCCCAACCCCTCCATGGTAGTTTTTGTTTGAAGTTTTTAGTAGCAATGGCTTGGGTGTTTTTGTTTTTTAGAAATAAAAATAGTCCATGTTGTGTCTGATGATAAAATGATACAGTGTCTCACGGTGCAGCTTGCATTTTTTTGGTCCGGGGGTTGTAATGGTGTTTCTGTCTTTTGGTGGTCTCCATGGAGTTGTCCTTCTTTACATGGTCCAAAATGGTTCACCCACTGCCACACTTAGGGTGGAGGGGTCTGAGCGCCACAACCCAGCACCAAGGGAGGCTGGGAAGTGCAGTTGGTGAGCAGTCACAGCATGCATAACTATTTTAATAAAATATTTCTAATTCTTTAGAAAATGTGATATCAGGTTAAGAGTTCATAAAGCTGAATGAGCAAGCAATGTAATGCCGAATGAGTATGTTTACAATCTTATTCTGTATTCTTTGAAAAACAAACACGTTGGGGCTGGGAAGGTGGCTCAGTGGTAGAGCATTTGCCTTGCATGCTCAAGGCCCTGGGTTCGATTCCTCAGCACCACATAAGCAAAAAGAAAAAAGGCGGAAGTGGCGCTGTGGCTCAAGTAGTAGAGCGCTAGCCTTGAGCTGAAGAGTTGAGGGACAGCGCCCAGGCCCAGAGTTCAGGCCCACAACTGGACCCCCCCCCAAAATAAACAAAAAACAAAAACATGTTTTCTTGCAAACAGGGTAGGACACATTATATAGAATTCCAGACCTTCACATACAGTCAGACCAAGAGGTTAGTCTTAAGAGAAAATCACCAAGTTGTAATGCCTATAGCCTCTTCATATGTATATAAAATAATATACATACTGAAATGAACTCCAAGATAAGGAAACAAAGGACCTTTTCTTAATGTCTTTTTGTTTCCTGATCACTCTGTTCTTCACCTCATATTCGGTGTGAATATCTCATATACACATTCACCTCGAGTAAAGGGGACACAATCAGTGGAAAATGTGAAATGTGCAGCAGCAGAGCACTGGCTGCACTGGACAACTCCTGGGTGGAGATGGAGGAGAGGGAACAAGGAGAATAAGGGGACAGATGATACTATGTAAAAGGAAGGAAATGGACTTCTTACCTGATACATGTAAAGGTAACCCCACTGTACATCACCTCTAAAACAACAATATTTTTAAAAACATGTTTTATTTGAGTCGGGCACCGGTGGCTCATGCCTATAATCCTAGCTACTCAGGAGGCTCAGATCTGAGGATTGCAGTTCAAAGCCAGCCCGGGCAGGAAAGTCTGTGAAACTCTTATCTCCAATAAACTAGAAAACCAGAAGTGGCGCTGTAGCTCAAGTGGTAGAGAGCTCGACTTGACTTGAAGAGTCTACGGACAGTGCTCAGGTTGAGCTCAAGCCCTACGACTGACAAAAAAAAAAACAACAACAACACAAAACACAAAAACCATGTTTTATTTGTATTTTCAATCACACTTTGTTTATGAGCCAAACCCAACATCTAGGCCCAGTTTCTGCTGTGTTGAGTATGCCATACTTTCCTCCTTTCTTTGTCATTTGTTTGAAAACTAGGTTACATTGTAGCATTTATGGATTTTGATGCCATTTTCTTTTCACTTGATTAAATTAACTTAAACTGTGAAATTTATTTCCCCCTAGAAGACTGTAGCTGCTGCTGTTTCTGCATAAGTTTTATAATCTTGTTCCTAATGTGTACTCTAGCTTCCCAGGGCAGTCCTGGGAAGAAAGCCATGAGCTCCACAAGTCTTACCTGAAGCTCAAGGCTTTCCAAAAGTAATGTTCAATTTTGTGTCAACTTCCAGAGCCCTCTAAATGGTTGTTTTGGTGTGTGTGTATGTGTGTGTGTGTGTGTGTGTGTGTGTGTGTGTAACCATTTTAGCTTTGTATTTACTTTTTACAACGATTGACCTCTTCATTCTGCCATAGCCATATTCCTTCCTGATATCTATCTACTCTTAAATATTTCCAGTAATTCACATTTTACACACACACACACACAGTATATACATATATATATATATATGAAACATAAAGTCAATTCTTCAAGTAGCAATTCTGAGAACTTTTTTTCAACATTATCAGTATTTTGAACATAGGAGCTTCCAGCTGCCAAGACAATTCCACAGAGAACAGCAGAAGTTGATGGCATGTATTTAAGGCTCTCCCAGTAATAAGTTTGCAAGTGGCATGAAAATACTTCAAGGAGAAAACTCTAAAATGACTTTTAAAACTTTCAGACTAAATATCCCATTATGTTTTTAAAAACAAAAACAGAATGACCTCACGAATCTAGAATTTGCAACTTTATCACCACCATCCTTTTATTCAAGAGTCTGGAAGTCCTTTGGACAAAGAGATTAAGGTGCTAATTCACAACCATGGGGGTTCTGTAGAGGACCCTCAAAGCAAGCATACCGCTTTGTCTCGAAGCCTTTCTGTGTCTTTTTTTTTTTTTTTGGGTCCGGTTGTGGGGCCTGAACTCTGGGTCTGGGCGCTGTCCCTCAGCTCTTCAGCTCAAGGCTAGCGCTCTACCACTTGAGCCACAGCGCCACTTCCGCTTTTTTTCTTTTTGCTTATGTGGTGCTGAGGAATCGAACCCAGGGCCTCTGGCATGCAAGGCAAGCGCTCTACCACTGAGCCACCTTCCCAGCCCTTTTCTGTGTCTTCTTTCAGCATCTGGGAGGATCCTTGGTAAGTGCCAGCACCTCAGGACCCACGGGGATCCGGGCTCAGTTTTGTGAGAGGAAAACACATTAAAACACCTTCCATGTCCATAAGCCTCATATGCAAAGAATAATGTGTCTTAGATTTTTAAATCTCTCTCTCTCTCTCTCTCTCTCTGTCTCTCTCTCGGTGATACTGGGGTTTGAACTCAGGGCCTCCCACTTGCCTGGCTTGCTTGCTAGGATAACACTCTCTTCCACACATCTCCAGCCTGTTTACTGGAGAATCAGTCTAGCACTTTTCTCCCTGGGCTGGCCTCAAACTATAATCCTTCAAATCTCAGCCTCCTGAGTAACCAGGATTACAACCTGTACAAGTACCTAGCTTGTGTCTTAGATTTTTTAGAGTGTCTTGGCATGTCTAGGAAACAACTTTTAACAAAATATATAGCTCACAAATACTTTCAAAGCACTAAGATTTAGTTACTGGTCAACAAAAATTATTCACCAAAGTCAAAGAATACTGGAGCTAAAGAGCACTTATATAAAAGAGTCACAGCTGAATATTGTCACAGTTAAAACATCATGACGGTGCAAAGTATTAATATCTTTGTTCCACAACAGCTCTAAGGAAGATTCCATTTTAGGAGTGAAGGCAGAAAACCAACTAATCGTTCAAATGTTTGCCTTCACATTTTTGAATTTTTCTTTATCTCCAAGACAAATATTGTTGCAGTTCTAATGGTTTATTAATTTACAGGATATACTAAAATGTTGACAGTAAATGCTATAAAACCCTCAGCTACATCACTGTCCACTTGACCTAAGTCCCCAGAATAGGAGAACAAGGTTCAAGTTAATAACATGTTGTATCCCACTAAAATTGGTTGAGGCCAGAGCCATTTGGCTTTTATCTGACATTTAATTTGCCAGCTTGCTCCTTCAAGATGTGTTCTTCCCATCTGCCTGCTAGGCCCACTAGGGCTCCCCAGTTCTTTGTATAGACCTCTAAGAGTACTTCTCATGTCTTCAGTAATCTGGCCGTGTCTGTCTCCTTGACTGAATTCCTCCCACCTCAAGCCTACTCCCTCCTTTTCCTCCAGTGTCAGAGGAAAGCTCCCTCAATGGCCCTGTGGCCAAATCCATCTGCCACTCGCATGCTGCCCCTTCCACGGCTCCTGCCCCACTGGAGTTCCTCCTACCTCCCACCAGCCTCTCTCCAGCTGCCTGTCTTATAAATATTACACACACTCCTTGTCTCATCACAAACACTCTCCCTCCTCCGGGGCTCTCCTAATGCCCTTTCCGTCCTGTGATCTGCCTTTTCAGCAGATGTCTGCAAACCCTGAGCACACTTGCTTCACCCACTCAATGACTGGCTTTGCTCCCACCACTCCACCCACACTACTCTAGCCTAAACCAGAGACCAGACCAGTCTTCTTCATACCGACCTCTCACCTTTTGGAAATGTTCCCGAACTTCAGGAGCACCCCTACTTGACATTCTCCTCCACTTCTGGGTAGTAATGCTCACAACTTCTCCATTCAGAGATAAATATTGTGAAAGGTTCCCTGTACAGGGTCAAAATCATGACCTCAAACTGGCTGTCAACTTTAAAACCACCTTCCAGTCCTGCCAGCACCCAGTGTTTAAGTGTCCAAGCTGCACATTTGGGTAAAGAATGAAGGTCTCCTGAGTAGCGTGGAGGAAGACCAGGAGGACAGCCACACATGCAACGCCTATGGAGGAGAAAGGAGAAAAGGCCAACCAAAACCTTTCAGGGCCACTTTTCATGCATAATCTTGAGAATCACAAGTTGTCCATATTTAAAGTTTCCAAGGCGCCAAGAGAATCCTCACAGCACACATCCGGCGAGCTCGGAGGCCCTCGGCTTCCGTAGTGCGGCGGCTCGGCCATAAACAACATGTGCAAGCCATTTCTCCCTCCTCAAGAAAAAGGCAACAGCTGTTTGCTAAAGTTTTTTTTTTTTTATTGTGGATAAAGACATTGCCAGCTTACATATATCATTTTTATTTGGAGTATTGGGTTTTTTTTTTCCTCCTTGCAGTGCTCCTGAGAAACTAAAAAAATGCATTGACTTTAGTTCTCTATAAAACAACCTAATCATAAGGTTGGGTTGAAAATTTGTTATTTTCCTATATAAATCAAAAGACAATTTATCAGTTTTAAATAGCAAAACCTTAATAAGTTAACAAATAAAGACCGACAAATAATCACAAATGTCAGAACATTAAAATTATTTTCTCCCCAGAGGAACATGTAAAATAAGTATCACCCAGCTTAATTAAAATTAACAAAAATTAAAAGATAAATTTTTGTCGGGGGAAGATGTCTTAAATATTTTGATGCATGAAAAACACCATTGGTTTAAAAACCAAATCCAAACACCTTGAAGCTTGGTAACATTCTAAATTGTCATCACAGCAGCCTGTCTCTGAAGAGGTGGCCTGGCTTGCTCTGCCCCGACTTCCTGATTGGATAAGGATTTTCAGCTCTTCCTGTCCCTCAAAACTAACCATTGAAAGGGTAAAAGAAAATAATAACTTTATATGGGGTTTGATACTTGAACTAGTTTTAAGAAGGCCCTTTCTCCTTGTGGACTTGTTGCTTAATTTTGGTACCCCAAACTCCTAAAAAAAGAAAAGAAAGGTTTAGGAGGTGGGTGGGGTGGTTCACACCTTTAATCCCAGCTACTTGAGAAGTAGAGCTAAGACAATCATGATTCAAACTGTTAGGGAAAAAAAAGTTATCTCACAGACCCTATCTCAAAAGAACAAGCCCTTCATGTCGGTAACACCTGTAACCTCAGGGGGAGGCTTAGACAGACAGGAGGCTCTGAAAAATAAATAAAAGCAAAAGGTCTAGAGGTGTGGTTCAGGAGGCAAACATGAGGCTGCATTCATTCCCTAGGACTGCTCTCCTCCAAAAAAGAATGCTGAGCAACGAACACTCATCAAACCACCTGATACTGTACTCCATTAAAGTCAACATCAATGGCTAAGTGACATTTTCTTCTGTAGTATATTTAAGTACACTGGAAAAACCACTAGAAATGATGTGGAAAGTTCAACCACACACAGAATTATTGTCGTTAAAATACTGCAGTAAGGTGCTGTTAGCAGTGTCCTATGCTAACATTCAAATCATGCACCTCCTCCCTGTCTGGTTTCTGAGAAGCCTCCCTGAGCAGATGGTTCATCTATGACACAACTTAAGTCTCAGAAAAGTCAATGGTTTAGATCAACAAACACTTAAGTCTGCATAGCAGTGAGCTATAGTTTCAGTAGTACAACGAAACATTAGGTGCTACAGGTCCAGGCCTGGACACACACTGAATAGCAGTAAGCTGCTCTGTGGGGTCTGGAGGGACAATCTGTCCTGCGCAGCTTCCACACTCAGGTAAGCTACAGGAGGGAGCGACAGGTTGTTTTGGTCAGGGAAGTAGATACTTAAAATGTCAACAAGGCATTTCAAATATGATAACACACTACTTAAATACCCACCATGCATCTCGTCTTCAAAATAAAACACTTGTTACATGTTCCATTTTTTCAAAATGAAGGACCACACATCTTTTGTTTAGCTTAGAAGCTAGCACTGCAGTTGCTCCACCATGAAAGGAAGCTTCAATAGCAAGCAACACATAATTCAGGATAATCAATGAAAATATCTTTGTTTAGAAACATGTTAACAAATCTATGTTAATACAGATTTCCCTCAACTTACAATGGTAAGCTGACTTATGATTTTGCAGTTTATTCATGGTGCAAAACTGATGGCCATTCATTAGAGGTGGGATTCAAGCTTTGGAACGTTCATCTCCTCTTGAGGCTGGGCAGCTCAGTGGGCTTGGCCTGCAGGCAGCCATGTGGTGGAGGGCAAAGGGCAAGCAGTGTGGCTAGGCCAGGGTGCTCAACAGGGTGAATGCACGGAGTGAATGCACTTCAGCTGTAGATGTTCTCGGTTCACAGTGGGTCACTAGGATGCAACCCTGTACAGGAAGTTAAGGCGCATATGTACTGCCATAGGAATTTCTCTGACAATAGGAATTTCTTTGTACTAGAGAATGGCAATGTAAACAAGTTAGCCAAAAGAGACAGTGACATGGTGGAGCAGCATTTTCTGTTACTTAATTTTCCAGAAAAAAAAGTTTTAACCATCAACTGAGAATCAAAACTTTCCAGCTTCTAAATATATTAGAAATATACAATCCATCATAGCAAAATTTACAACCAGATTTAGCTTGGCTAGATTCAGCCCTATTTCAGCCCTATTTACACTTTCCTCATTTTCACCTTTCCTTGCTATAAAATGTTTCTATCATAAAGGTATATCTAAATTTATAAAATCTGCAAGAAATGTCTTTTAAATGTACAACTTCAACAACTGATAGAAAATGGACATCCTGATAAAACTAAGCTTCAAGTCACAATTTTTTTTTTATGATGGGCTTATAAAAAATTAAACAAAAACTCCTGTTATTCTTAAGTTCCAACAGCTGGTGCTGGTGCTTAGCGGGGATTTCCCACCCTCCCCCGACCATGGTGACATGGTGATGGACCCACAGCTCGGATCTCTGCACCTGGATGTGTAGACTTAGTGCTATTGCTCATTGCATGTGGAGGCAGCAGCACAGGGTGACACATGGGAGACAATGTCCACATGACACCTTGAAGAAGAGCCATCAGCTCTTCTAAGGAAATAGTATACCTACACCATATACTTGACAATGAAAAAGAACTTGGACTGGGGTGTGGCTCAGTGGTAGAGTGCCTGTCTTGCAGGTGTGAAGCCCCATGTTCAAGCCCCAGAATAGAGCAAAATAAAAAAGGAATAAACTTCTGAGCCATGTGGTAACTTAAGATGGATGTCAAAGGAATTGTGCTGCATAAAACACATCTACCTCAAGAGGGAACATAATGTATGATTCCACTTATACAGTGTTCTTGATATCAAGAAGTTACAGAGCTGCTAAGGGGAGGGGGGTGTCGGGAATGAGGGCAGGAGGCAGCGAGGCATGGTTCTAGACAGAAGGAGGCAGCTCAAGAGATGGAAGAACTGTATTGTATCTTGACTGTGTGGAAGTCATGTGAATCTATACACATGACAAGATTGCATAGAGCCAAGTACACATTCCACCTAACGGCACCTATGACCTCATGAGAACAGCCATGCTCTTGGCTTCTCTGTCCTTTGAAGATGATCAATTCATGCTTCAATAGAGTTCCTTCCCTAGGCAGAGAAGTCATGACTGCTTCTGGTTTTGTGCAAATTCCTTGATGATCTTTAGAAGAGCTTGAGAATCTGATGAGGAAATAAAGTTGGTACAGATAGCTACTAGTATTTTTGTCTTCTTTTTTTTTTTGTAAATTAACTTTTTTAATGGAAAGGTTTCTAGATTAAATTAGGCCAAATCAGAGAAGAAGAAAAGCAGATCATATAGCAAGCACTTGCTCCTCTGATATCTGCAATTTCTAAAAGCATTAAGAATATCTTTATTAAATTTAGAGAAATTACAATTGCAAACAAATGCATGACTTCTTCCGAAAGGCCACTTTGTGATAAAATACATATACATAGTGTTCATGTTTTCTTAAAGTGCTCTGTAGTCTGGGGCTTGGCAATTACCTACTGCTTTAACAGGTCTTTCAGCACAACACCAGCGCTGTTGTCAGGCGACACTGGCAAAGGTGTAAAGGTGGGCAGAACATCCGAGATGGGTTTCAGAAGAGGATGCCCGGGCCCACCAGGTCCAAGCCCGGCGGGGTCAATGAGAGGGACAGCTGCAGAGCGGGGAGCCAGGAAAGGGCTCACATCTGCTCTTCTTCCAGCCCTGGATGCTGCGCCATCTAAATGAGGAGACATGGATTATTCATTCTGTCTTTCTCCTTCACAAAGAAGCCTCTGAATGAGAATAATGGTGGCAAGAAGCCTGCCTCTACACAGTAGTTCATTATCACCATTATCAACTTTCAAATCCCACTTTGCTGGAATTTGGCATACTTTTTGGACTAGTCTTCAATTACTTAAAAAGAAAACATAAACAGATCTCAATTACTAAACATTGAATACTAATTTGGTACCAGGTACCAGTGGCTCATGCTCATTAACACTAGCTACTCAGGAGGCTGAGATCTGAAGGTTATGGTTCCTAGCCAGGGCAGGAAAGTCCGTAAGACTCTTATCTCCAATTAGCAATCAGAAAACTGGAAGTGGTGTCTAGGCTCAAAGTAGTAGAGTGCTAGCCTTGAGTAAAAAAGCTCAGCGATATCACCCAGGCCCTGAGTGCAAGCCCCACAACTGACAAAAAGGGGGGGGGAGGCCTCCTAAGATAGAGAATATAGAGTCAAGTTCCTTATACTTACTTGTCACCCCTCACCCTTGGGACCTCAAATTAGCCTTTCCTGTGAATGACAACTAGCTATACTAGGAAAGCAGAATTCTAGGATTAGCTACTAAGTTCTGACACATCCAAATACAGAAATAAAGAGCATCTCTTAAAGTTATGATTTTTCACTGACTTGGTAGCCGTACTTTTTATCTAAATGACAGGTAAGTTTTACTAGTTTATCTTTCTAGCTAAGCTCAGAAAAGCAAACATAGTTGTCTAAATAACAAATATATATTTTACCTAAATGAAACTACGTGATGTATGATAGAATCCAAAGAATATAACATCTAACTTTAGTTTATATTGTTGGTCTATATTAAAAATACAGATACTTCAGAAAAAGAAGTGTCCCAATAAAGAAGCAATTTTAGTTCATCTATCATCATCCTGAATAAAATAAGACCCTTAGAACAGAGAAGACTATGTTACAAGAAGATGTAACTACTGTAACTAGTCTGCCACCATTTCAGGAAGAATAATTCAAAGTGGCTCATGCAGAGATAACTATTTCAATATACAAAGGGAAAATGTTTCGTAGTATTTAATTAAAGCAGATAAAAGACAAAATTGGTACAAGATATTTGATGTCTTACAGGAATTTTGGAAGCATCATTGCACAGTTTCAAAAACACCGAAAATTCAATGTTACAAAAAAAACTGGTTTTACCTTTAAAACTTAGGGGTACATTTGCATCTAGTTTCCTCCTTCCTGGAGAATCCAGAGGCTTCATGTCATGAACAGAAAGCTTTGGTGGTGGGATAGATGGATGAGACTCTGTTTCTAGAAATTTAACGAAAAGTTCTGAAAAAGACTAAGAAAAAAAGGTATATTAGACTAAAGAATAAATTGTTATCCATGCCAGGCATGGCGGTACATGCCTACAGGTAATGGCATCACTCAGGAGGCTGAAGTAAGAGGATGAGTTCTAGGCCAGCCTGGACTACACAGTGAGACATGCTCAAAAGAGAAATAAACCTACATTCACCACATGAAGAAAGTGCACCAGCTATTCTAATTAAATATTAAAAACTTACATCATTTAATTCCCCCCCCCCTTTTTTTTTGTCAGTCGTGGGGCTTGAACTCTGGGCCTGGGCGCTGTCCTTCAGCTCTTCAGCTCAAGGCGAGTGCTCTACCACTTGAGCTACAGCACCACTTCCGGTTTTCTGGTGGTTTATTGGAGATAGGAGTCTCATAGTCTTTCCTGCCCGGGCTGGCTTTGAACCGCAATCCTCAGATCTCAGCCTCCTGAGTAGCTAGGATTACAGGCGTGAGTCACCAGCGCCCCGGCTTCCCCTTTTTTCAAATTAACTATTTAAAAAGAAAACATAAACAAGGTTAACTGAAAATGCTAGTGGTAGTACTTTGCTTATATGGTAATCATTACAGAACTTTAACAATTTAATGAATAATCTTTGATGATGACACTCATTTCAAGTTCTTATTAAACGGAGTTAGTCAATTAAGAGCATGTCTTTTTTTTTTTTGAGGCAGTCTCACTTCTGGAAGCTCAAGCTGGCCTTGAACTCACGATCCTCTTGCTTCCACCTGTCAAGTACTGGGATTACAGCCACGCATCACCACACATTGTTTTCTAGCCTTTTGTTTTGTCTTACTTAGTGTGTAATGTGCTGGATATGGAACCCAAGGCCTTGCACAAGCCACGCAAGCACTGTACCACTGAGCTACAGCCCCAAGAACATTCGTTTCTTGCCGTCAGTAGCACTTAAGACACCACGTTCAAATCATAATATTTTAACAACACAGGTATAGAAACCATATAAAAGCTGGGCGCTAGTGGCTCATGCCTAGAATCCTAGCTACTCAGGAGGCTGAGATCTGAGGATGGCAGTTCAAAGCCAGCCCAGGCAGAAAAGTCCCTAACCACTACAAAACCGGAAGTGGTGCTGTGGCTCAAAGTGGTAAAGCACTAGCCTTGAGCAAAAGAGCTCAAGGACAGCACCTAGGCCTTAAGCTCAAGCCCCACAACTGACAAAAAAGAAGAAAAGAAAGAAACCATATAAAAGAAAAGCAAATATTAACATATTTTTTTGGGGGGGTTCGGTCGTGGGGCCTGAACTCTGGGCCTGGACGCTGTCCCTCAGCTCTTCAGCTCAAGGCTAGCGCTCTACCACCTGAGCCACAGAGCCACTTCCGACTTTTTTCTTTTTGCTTATGTGGTGCTGAGGAATCGAACCCAGGGCCTCAGGCATGCAAGGCAAGCGCCCTACCACTGAGCCACCTTCCCAGCCCTTAACATAATTTTCTAAAGGAAGACCCCCCATCAATTGATATAGCAAAAGATCACCAGTAATATTATGAGACTAAAATAACATGGTGTGTACTATTTCTTTAAATTAAAATTTTTGCCATCCATGTAAAAACAAGATCTTATCCTATTCTTAGGATCCTCTTTATTAAAATAAATAAATGAATAACTGGATGTAGCCGGGCACAATGGCTCAGGACTGTAATTCTATTTTCTTGGGAGGCTAAAATTAAGAAGACGGCATTTCAAGGCCATCCCAGACAAAAAGTTCAGGAGAGTCATCACAACAGAAAAAGCTGGGAATGGTGGTTCATGCCTATCATCTCAGCTATGGCTGAAAGTGTGAACAGGAGGATGACAGTTCAGGTTGGTCTGGGAAAATCTAAGACCCTATCTAAAAAATAATCCCAGCAAAAAGGGCTAAAGGTGTGGCTCAAGTAGTGGAGTACCTGCCCAGCAAGAATGGGTCTTGGTTCAAGCTCCAGTACCACAAATAAATAGAAAAGAAAGAAAGAAGGAAACTGTATTCCAACTCACAGTGCTACCCAATGCAATTCCTATATATCAGGCACTGTGAGTTTATGTTTATTTGTTATCTTCCCAATGGTATACAACAGATCCTCGGTAAGTATTATTGCTTCAATGAATTGAAACATATATACGTAAATAAGATAAAGGCTCTATTTTCAAGAATGGCATAATTTCATACTACTACTACTCAACACAGCATTTATTTAAGAGTCTCACTATGTAGCCCAGGATGACCTTAAACTCATGATCTGCCTGCTTCTACTTCCTACCTGCTGGGATTACAGGTATGTACCACCACGGCCAGCATCATTAACAATGCAAAATAATTATCACACAAATATATTAGATAAGCTGGCACCAGTAGCTCATGCCTGTAATTCTAGCTACTCTGGTGGCTAAGATCTGAGAATCATGGTTTGAAGCTGTCAGAACAGGAAAGTCCAGGGGCTGGGAAGGTGGCTCTGTGGTAGAGCGCTTGCCTCGCATGCATGAGGCCCTGGGTTTGATTCCTCAGCACCACATAAGTGGAAAAAACTGGAAGTGGCGCTGTGGTTCAGGTGGTAGGGTGCTAGCCTTGAGCTGAAGAGCTGAGGGACAGCACTGGCCCAGAATTCAGCCCCCATGACTGACAAAAAAACAGAACAGGAAAGTCCATAAGATTCTTACCTCTAATAAACTACCAAAAAGCCAGAAATAGAGTTGAGACTCAAGTGGCAGAGCACTAGCCTTGAGCAGAAAAACCTCAGGGATAGTGCCCAGCCCCTAATTCAAGCCTCAGGACTGGTGGGCACATGTACACACACACGCTTGCGCACGTGCTCACGTGCGCGCTCACGTGCGCACACACGCGCGCAAACACACACACATACACACACACAAACACACACACAATTAGATAAAATCTATATGCAATAAGATGATTAAAGCTGGCTTGTTATCTTTAAGCTGATCACTTCTCTGGATCTATTGCCATAACTCCAAAATAAGAGGGTGGCACAAAATAACCTAAAAAGAAATCTGATACTTTGCAATTGAGTTTGGTATACAATCATTTCGTCCTTCATGTTCAGCAGAAATAAAATTGGCTCTTACACTATTAAGCACAGACTGCTGATTTGGTCTCAAAGGTGTGTTGGGGACACTTTTTGATCCTCCTCCAAGCCATCCCGTCATCCACCTAGTAACACCTCCGTGATCGTCATTAAACAACTGCAAGGGTATTTTAAAAACAGAAAAATATTATTAATACAAGAAAAGAAAAATGAAGAATTACTTGCAACATGATTTCGGATAACAGCAAACCATGCTTATGAGTCCAAATCCTAGAAATAGAGGATACTAATACAATAACAATGCCACCTCAAGCACAATCTGAATGAAAGGGTTTTTTAAAATTTGTAATGGTTTTATTTTTTAATTTCTTTTTTAAAATTTTATTTTATTATAAAGATGCTGTACAGAGGGGTTACAGTTATGAATGAAAGTTTTACACATTGTTACATCTCTGTTGACATGTAAACTGGGTTATAAGTTGCAAAATATTTAAACTAGTATCATACAAATCAAACACATCTACTCTTAAGATAGGACAAGTGTCCATAATACCTCAACATTGTAAGTCTGTTCAGAATGAGGTTGGGAATGGAGCCCAGTTGAAGAATATTTGCTTAGTGTAAGTATATACAAGGTCCTAAGTTCGGTCCCCAGTGCTATCGGTCAGTCAATCAATTCAGAATGGATTCCAGTGTCAGGTTGGTTACCTGTTCCATCTCTTCTTTTTTAACACCTAGTATGCTTCCCATCAATCGTAGCACTTCATGGCGCTTAGGTTTTGGTGTGTGGAAATGACCAATGAAGAGGTTTCTCATGAGGGTTCTATGAAAACAAAGGCAGAAACAACTCAAGCCAATGCAACCTGGCATGTACCAAACATTAAACATATGAACAGTGCTAACTTGAGACCATTAAATATTTATAGCACTAAACAAAAAAATAAAGTAGCTTTTTTTTTTGGGGGTCAGTCATGGGCCTTGAACTCAGCCTGGGCTCTGTCCCTGAGCTCAAGGCTAGTGCTCTACCATTTGAGCCACAGCACCACTTCTGGTTTTCTGGTGGATGACTGGAGATAAGAGTCTCATGGATGTTCCTGCCTGGGCTGGCTTTGAACTGCGATCCTCAGATTTTAGCCTCCTGAGTAGCTAAGATTACAGGTGTGAGCCACCTGTGCATGGCCTAAAGTAGCTTTTTAAAAAGTCTAATTAACAATGTTTCAAACAATTCAAAACATATACTTTTTAAAACAGCAATTATTAGCCACCCACTTTCTTCAACCCAGTAGCCAACTGAGGAAGTGTTTCACTGGTTGATGCTCACCAAAGACCATCTTCACATAGTGATGGCTTTCTTGGGCTTAGATTTCCCATTCACAATGATCAAAATTTACTAATAAGCTGCGCACTGGTGGCTCATGCCTATAATCCTAGCTATTCAGAAAAGAGATCTGAGGATCTGGGTTCAAAGCCAGCCCAAGAAGACAAGTCAGAAAGACTCTTATCTTCAATACACCAGAAAAAAAATTGCTATTAATACCAAAGTTTAAAAATATTTTATGAGATAATGTACACACTCACATACACATATACACATACATCTAGGTTTCAGAATTTTGAATAAGCTATGTTCAAGGACATTAAAGGTAAAGTAAAGTAAAACAGGTCCTTTATTTTGTAAGCACTTCACGTTGAGATGTTTTAATTCTGTTTTAAGAATAAATTGGGGCAAAAATACTTTTAAAAATAGAAAAAATGTTCTATTGAGCCTTCATTAAAACTACCCACATATTTTATTAGATATAAAAAAGGCTCCCTAAACATTTAATCACATATAAGGAGGGAATTAGAGAATCACGCTACCTAGAGGAGGCTGAGATCTGAGGAGTACAGTTCAAAGGCAGCCCAGGCAGGAAAGTCCATGAGACTCATCTCTGATTAACTACCAAAAAGGCAAAATGGCACTGTGGCTCAACGTGGCAGAGTACTAGCCTTGAGCACAAAAGCTCAAGGACAGTGCCCAGGTTCTGAGTTTAAGCTCCATGACCAGCACCAAAACAAAACTAACCCAAAATTAATCACATACAAGCCAGGCACTGGTAGCTCACACCTATAATCCTATCTACTCAGGAGGCTGAAATTCGAGGATTTCAGTTTGAAGCCAGCCTTGGCAGAAAAGTTGTGAGATTCTTATCCACAATTAAGTACAAAAAAGCCAGAAATGGAGCTGTGGCTCAAGTAGTAGAATACTAGTCTTGAGCAAAATAAGCTCAGAGATAGTGCACAGACCCTGAGTTTAAGTTCTAGGACCAGCAAGAAAAAAATTTTAATCACATATAAACTACTGCATGTGGAAGTTGTTCTATGATGAAAGCAATCCCTACAAAATATTTTATTTTATTTTATTTTTGGGGGGGGGTCTGGTCATGGGGCCTGAACTCTGGGCCTGGGCTCTGTCCCTCAGCTCTTCAGCTCAAGGCTACCGCTCTACCACTGAGCCACCTTCCCAGCCCCCCCCCTGCAAAATATTTTAAAAGTTAAAAAGCAAAAGTATACTTGTCCACTTTTCCTTCAGTACTGTTTACTAAGTCCATCAATTTCTTTTGTGCATCATCCAACATTTCTTGTCGGAGCTCATCTGTTTTAAAATATGTGAATAAAGATAGTCATTAACCAATCAATCTGAACAAATATACAATATACAAATATACAATGACACTTATAAGATCTTTACGATGAAATTTAAATTTGTACTCTACACTAACTGGTAATATTGAATTACTTCCATCTATTCTGTTTCAGAGAAAGACTCTCTCTTGATACAGAAACTGCTTAAAACCCAGAGCATGCATTATTCCATATGGGTTACCCCATAAATAATCAGTTCCTCAGTAGGAAAATCTTTAAAATCAATAAAGGCTTCCATCTTCTTTAGAAACTTAATAGCAAAAGACCAGATTTTCACTCCTGCTTCCTAGCATGAAACATTTCCAGTATAACTTCTGTTTAATGGGAGGAAATGGAAAAGACAACTTTAGATTTTCCTTTTTTTATTTTCCTGGCTGTACTCTGGTTTTGGTGAGCTGACTAAGAAAAGTATTTAACACCACTAAGACCACAATTCAACACAAGTCTGACAGGGCAAAGCATTCCAGAGTAAGGAAATTGCAAAATACAATTCAGATCACTGGCACTAATCACATTACAATAGTTTATGACAGATTTTAAATTCCTATCTAAAAAGTAAATAGAATCTTAGTAAAATCTTAGTAGAGTAATTACAATGTGAATACTTTACAGTACAGTACTTTACTCTTTTCATTAGCTAATAAGCCACAGGACTGAGGATTCAAGGACAAAGGAACTTAGTCTAATATAATTTGCACCTGTTATGTTAGAAGTAGATTATTTGAACTAAGAGGTATTTACTAATTTTAACATAGAGTACAGGTTTTTGTTCTGAAAGAAATGAAAAAACCATGTGGTAGCTAGAGCCAGTGGCTCACACCTATAATCCTAGCTACTCAAGAGGCTGAGATCTAGGGACTGCCTGTCGAAGTCAGCCCAGGCAGAAAAGTCTCCATGAGCCTCTTCAATTAACCACTAAAAAAAAAAAAAGGCCCAGAAGTAGAGCTGTGGCTCAAAGTGGTACTAGCCTTCAACAAAAGAGCTGAGGGACAGTGTCTAGACCCCGAGTTCAAGCCTCACAACCAACAAAAAACCCCACAAAACACATTTTTTTTTTTATTAGTAGGAGCTGGAGAAGTTATCGAAGAGAGGACTTGTACATATTTCCTCCATTTTGTGGGCTTTCACTTCTCTCTTGATGGTATTCATTGAAACACAGAAGTTTTTTAAATTTGGTGAAGTTCAATTTCTTTTTTTCTTTATGTTGTTTTTACTTTGGGTGTCATACCTAAATACTACTGCCATGTATCACGAAGGTTTATCTTCGTTGAAGAATTTTATGGTTTTGACTTGAAATGCAACTGAGTTCATTTCTGTGCATGGTATGAGGTAGATGCCAACTTCACTCTTTTACATGTGGGGACAGCCAGCTTCTAGCACCATATTATGGAAAAAGTATACTTCGGGTCCTTTTTTTGAATGTTAATTGCCCATGAATATAAAGTATATTTCTGGGCTCTCACGTCTCCTGCAGGAGTTTTGTACATGTTTTCCCTTCTGCACGGAAAGCTTTGCTCTACTGGTACTGCCTCGTGAGTCTATTTATCCTCCACTGTGCAGCTCCCAACATACTTCCTCTGCAGTTTTTCTGAGACTCACAGAGTGTGTCTATGTTTTTCATTCTATTCTGTACAGTTCTGTTTTGTAGCACAAATGCAAATATAAATGCCCACTTTAACCTTCTTACAATAGCTTGTGGTTTGTCTAAATTGCAAAATGTCATTCGTATAATAAGACTAATGTTACCAAATGGTCACCATAACCATATTATACAGGATAGGTCTGTGTTTGGAAAATCTACCACAGTCTTTTCCTTCCCTGTCTTTGCAGTAAAAAATTTAAACTTGGCCATAAAAAGGTATGTGAGAGAGTATAGGAGAATAGAACTCTTAACTACTCAGAGGAAGAATAGCAAAATAAGCAAGTTAATCTCTCATCACTGCTCTGACTTAACCATCCCACCAGAGTAAAGATGGGCCAATCTTCTCTTTCATGCTCATCTGCTCTTCTCTCTATGGCTAGGAAGGAAAGGCAGGGGAGAAACAGGTCAAACTTCCCCACTCTTGAGTCAGGCACCGGTGGCTCATGCCTATAATCCTAGCTACTCAGGTGGCTGAGATCTAAGGATCGCGGTTCAAAGCTAGCCTGGGCAGGAACATCTGTGAGACTCTTATCTCTAGTTAACCACCAGAAAACCAGAAAGTGGTGCATAGCTCAAATGGTAGAGTGCTAGCCTTGAGCTGAAGAGCTCAGGGACAATCCCCAGCCCCACGACTGGAAGGAAAAAACAACAACAAAAACCCTAGTCTTTCCATCCTTCCGTCTTCCATTCCTGAGATTTTCTCCCTTCTCCTACTTTCCTCGATAAGTAATCATTTTAATACTGATTACATGCTAAAGGGTTACATAAAAAGTATTATCAAAGGGGCTGAGAAGGTGGCTCTGTGGTAGAGTGCTTGCCATGCATGCAAGAGGCCCTGGGTTCAATTCCTCAGCACTACCTATGTAGAAAAAGCTGGAAGTGGTGCTGTGGCTCAAGTGGTAGAGCAGTAGCCTTGAGGTGAATTGCTGAGGGGACAGTGCCCAGGCCCAGAGTTCGGGGCTCACAACTGACCAAAAAAAAAAAAAAAAGTAGTATGAAAGTAAACTTAAACTCTATCTTATTATATTAATGTGGCCATAAAAAATTGAAAATTATGTTGGATGTAATAGGACATGCCTAATCTGATTACTAAATTGGCTAAGACAGGAAGATTGCGAGCTCAAGTCCAGCCTGGCCTATACAACAAGACCCAATCTTATAAGAGAAAAAGAAAAAGAAAAAAAATGATGTTTAGGTTCAGGAAGAAGAAAAAAAAACAAAAAACACAAAACCCCAACCTCAGAATTTAGGGGAAGGACTAGAGGAAATGGTACAAATTGTAAGACTTTAGAAGAGAAATTCACACACCCATTTCAAAGGTCCCTAGATGCTCCTTTTTCTCCAGGAACACTTACTATTCTCCTCCCATTAGAAATTCAAATACAAAAATTGAAAATGAACTCAAACCACAATTTGAAATCAGAACTGTATTTGTCTGGGCAAGCAAAATATGACTATAAAAAATGGGTTTTAAGTCAAACGCAATTACTTCTGTGAATAATTTCACGTGCCAAATAACTCTTTAGAAGTTTTAAGGGTGGGAACACTTTAAAGCTTAGCAATAGAGTAGCTGAGATTGAGTCTGGTTTTGAAAACCCGTGACTAGGGCTTCTTTGAAATACCCAGAAATGGAGTCATGGCCTTCACTATTTGATTTAAAATCAAAATTGGATATAAAAAGCAACCGCCTGCAACAAGTCAGCACATCATAATTTTACATTTTATTTGTGATTAATGGCAGTGTTCTATAATATTGTCTTCAGAGAGTATCTTAAAATTAATCATCTTCCTCACAAAGTCATTTGGCTATTTCATGACTAAGCTCCTATGGACAAGACCCAAGTCAGGCTTACTGAACCATCAGTTGAATGAGAAAAAAGTAGATGAAGCCTACCCAGAGCTTGAGTCAGAAGACCTGGATATAAAACATGACCTATCACCAGTGCCAGATTTTGTTGCCCATTTTGTATAATGCATACCCACCTTAAAATTTTGAACCAAATGATCAAATCTAAATAAACAGTAAAGGCATGAGTTCTCATTCATCTGATTTCTTAAAATAAGCCACAAGGAGTACCTCATTCAATTTTCCCTAATTACTTAGCAATCATACATATTGCTATGATTAATATTAATAATCTGTGAGATTTTTTTCCCCGTCCATTTTGCAAATTTCTCATCTTTAAAAGTCAAAGTTAGCCAGGCACTGGTGGCTCAAGCCTGTGATCCTAGCTACTCAGGAGGCTGAGATCTGAGGATCGTGGTTCAAAGACAGCCCTGGCAGGAAAGTCTGTGAGACTCTTATCTCCAATTAAGCACCAGAAAACTGAAAGTGGTGCTGTGGCTCAAAGTGGTAGAGCTCTAGACTTGAGCAGAAGAGCTCAGGGACAGCACCCAGGCCCAGAGTTCAAACCCCACACCTGACAAAAGAAAAAAAAAAAGGAGCTAAAGTTATAAAAGGAGGAAGAAGGAAAATATGTTAGAAGAATGAATTTGTTTATACGTAGAAATGCCAATAACAAATTGGGTCTGGGGTTGAAAACCCTGAAAATAAATCTAAACCAGATACAATATTAAACCTAGTATTTTTTTCTAACAATGTTTAAAAGCAATTTAGTCTCTTCTTTTATTAAATATAATTTAAAGCAAAAGCCAGAAATTAGATGATCTAGGGCTGGGAAGGTGGCTCAGTGGTTAAAGTGCTTGCCTTGAATGCCTGAGGCCCTGGGTTCGATTCCTCAGCACCACATAAGCAGAAAAAAAAAAAGCTGGAAGTGGCGCTGTGGCTCAAGTGGTAGAGCGCTAGCCTTGAGCTGAAGAGCTGAGGGACAGTGCCCAGGCCCAGAGTTCAGGCCCCATGACCGGACCAAAAAAAAAAAAAAAAAAGAAATTAGATGATCTATATGTTACAAAATTTGAATTTAAAAGGTCACTTTTTGTTGTTGTTGTTTTGTTTTTTACTGGTCTTGGGATTGAACTCAGGGCCCAGGAGCTACCCCTGAGCTTTTATTTTGTGTGCTCATAACTAGCACTCTGCTGTTCCACATCTGGCTTTTTTTTGGGGGGAGTGATTAATTGGAGGTAAGAGTCTCACAGACTTTCTTACTCAGGCTGCCTTCAAACGGTGATCCTCAGGTCTAAGCTTCCTCAGTAGATATGATTACAGGTATCAGCCATCAGCACTGGCATAACTTTCAACATCAAATACTATTAATTAATTTAATTAGGTTCTTGCTTAATCTTGTACATCTTTTTCACTGATGGCTGGCAATCTACCAACTGAACCAGCCTCCAGTCCAAATAACATT